AAATTATAATGTTATAAGAATTTAGACAGTAATAAAATTATATATATATATTTGTTGAGGAAAACAGTCAGCAGTAAAAATACAAAAAGTATAAACAAAAGCTCAACCTTCCAAATGTACAGTATTTCAAGGAAGCAAATCCAGCATGCATGACAACTTACTTGAACATTTTTGATATATTGCACCGTTTGGACGTATTATGTTAGACTCAACTTCACTCATTGTTGCTCCTTAAATCCTCGCCTTCAACTGCATTTCTCGTTTGCAGAATTGCCAATCTGAAAAGTATTTTCAAAATTCGTGGTTACAACGTTGAATAGTTGAACAAATCTGTGTTTCGGTACTATTTTTTCCAATTAATTCGCCTTTTTAACAACTTTTAATCGACATATTTTTTTTATAATAATTCAACTCACAACGACTTTCTTGTTTGTGGTAAATAAAAATTTAGTTGGTCAAGAAACTTGATTGGCAGGTTTTCTTTGTTTTTGATATTTTATCCAATCCAATTCAAGAACGATGACGTCAGTGTCATGTAGCAGAGATTGGAAAGAATATGCATATCAAGTTATTGAACTGGTCAAAGAACATTTTAGGATCCGTTTGCATGAGACCGGACAAAATTAAACCGGAATGAAAATTGAAATTGTGAAAATGTTTATATAAGACCGGTACGAAAATATAGAAAATTCAATTTCCATATCCATATTCTTTTTCAACCATTATGTTTTCTGAACATGATCGAAATATTGAAAGTAGTTGTCATGGTATTAAACACGATAATTTTAGGAATAGTTTTAAAATTGAAAAATCCCCCCAAAATATCAATTTTAATTACAAAATGATCAATTTCCCAAACATATATATGCTAGGTATGCTATTATACGTAATATAAGCTTCAATTTAATGTAAAATTCAACCACAAACGCTTCGCAAAACGTTTTAAAATATTCTTAAAAATAAACTGCCTTTTATAGAATTATCGGTAAACATTGAGTTTGAATTAACTGCTATAAAACAAACAATACATCAATATTCAAAACAAGCTAATTTTCATTAATTAACGTCGGCGATTTTGCTCCATTCTTTTAGACGTTTTTAGGCTCTCAGAAAGGTTTTGAAATTGACAAAATCTTGCAAAAATACAAGAAATGTTTGTTATTTCGCTGCCGTCATGCAGTCGTTATAATGCAAATTTCAAATTTGACCAATCAGTGTTCACTATTCACGACAGTACGCTACATATTTTGAGATCAGTGAGGATGACCACCCACTCAACACCGTTGGTGAGTCACGCCCGCGATCATTGATGAACTTTAGACTTCGCTAATGCTTTCGTTTCGCCGGGTGCAAATAGCCGGGGGGAATTAGTACCCTCGCCCCGGGCTCACGCCCGGAACGGCGCTCCGCGCCTTTGGCTCGGGGATTATTCTATGACCGAAACGATATGATCCCGGTTTGATTTCGTTCCGGACTCATGCACACGGAGCCTTAGTTTCCGGTCGGCTGATTTGTTTTAAATTACAAAATCTGTTCATTAAGTACGACACTTTTCTATGTTTTTCTTTAAGGCCCTTTCACACTATTGCGTATCGTACTATCGCATGCCAGCGTATGATAAATATCACTCATACGCTGGAAAACGCTGACAACGCTAGGGGTACGTTAGTGATAGGTTGCATACGTTTCAAGCATGGTCGCATGTGGTGGTTTACGTTGGAAAGCGGTGAGGAAGAAACTTTTTTAAGCATGCTTAAAAATTTTGTGCGCATTCGGACGTTTTCTTTATATGATAAGCGTACTCTAGGAACACCCTCAATACGCTAGAGGTACGCCAGATGTACGGTACTCATACGCAGGCATTTCAAAGGATTTTTGTGGATATGAAAATTATTTAATTATTTTTCCTATAACGCTTCTCATACGTTTCTCTCAAACACAATAGTGTAACAGGGTCTTAACACAGACGACAAAAACAATATGTTAGCAATATATTTTATTGAAAGGTATGACTTATTATATAATCCGGCCGAGTATAATACGAGTTTCGAAGGTATTTTTTCCATCACTTAAAGGGCGAGGAAATATGCGAGAAAAGAGTAAAATGCCCAGCAGGATCATACTGTATGTCAAACCATTCAATAGGATTTTTATTATACGACAAACCTGAAAAAGTAGATTTCAATGTCTTTTTTGAAGGATTTGCATGCGTTTAGCACTGTTTGGCTAATTTAGATTTTATGTTCAATGAAAACAAACATCCTGAAACAGGTTACGAAGTTGCATACGAAATTAGGAACAACTTGACACTGACGTCATCGTTCTTGAATTGGATCGGATAAAATATCAAAAACAAAGAAAACATGCCAATCAAGTTTCTTGACCAACTAAATTTTTATCAGCCACAAACAAGAAAGTCGGTATGAGTTGATTATATGAAATATGTCGATTAAATGTTGTTAAAAAGGCGAATTAATTGAAAAAATAGTACCTAGTAAACACAGATTTTGAAATCACGAATTTTGATAATACTTTTCAAATTGGCGATTGTGTACGCGAGAAATGCAGTTTAAGTCGCGGGTTTAAGGAGCAACAATGATTGAAGTTTTGCATCTACGAGCATAACATAATACGTCCAAACACTGCAATTATTTCAAAAATGTTCAAGTAAGTTGTCATGCTTGATTTGTTTCCTTGAAATATATTTGGAAGATTGAGTTTTCGCTTATACTTTTTGCATTTTTACTGCTTACCATTTTGCTCAAGATATATATATATATATATATATATATATATATATATATATATATATATATATATATATATATATATATATATATATATATATATATATATATACATATATATATTCTCCATTGTATCAGTTTCTTAATGAACTTTTATATTTTGTTTGCACTTCTTGTAGCAAATAAAGAAACTGGCTTGTTGTTTACGACTGAATAAACGTCAATCACTATAGGTCTGATAGGCTATGTTACACGAGACAATATTTGTTGCAGTCCAACGCAATTGTACACAAACAGCGCTGCTATGCTTTACCTGCTTCCTAAATCAGGGCCAGTACGGGCGTAGAACTGACCTTGTACATTTCAAAAACAATACCGTTTATCTGAAAAAAAAATTTATTTTATATCCGTTCTTAATACAAAATTTACACTGTTTTTAAAAGATTTTAGGAAATTTCAAACACGTTAAAATATGTTCCCGATACTTATTCCAATAGGCAATTCTGGCTTTTAGTATATTCGTGCAGGGTGAGGGCGATGTCAAGTAAGGTATCATATTGCTGATTATGCTGAAAAACAAGAATGATGGCCGTGTAAACACGGAATGATAGCTTATACTTGTAAATATTGAAATATTTCGGTTGTTTTTATTGAAATGTTTCAGAATAATCAGCAAGATGATTCCTTACTTCCCGCCACCGTCTGCGCGCATAAATTAACAGCTGGAATTGCCTATTCCTACCTCGAGCAAGGATAATTTTGAGATAGTTAACTAATTCAGGAACTCGCGTGTTCAGCCCTTCTAGTGTGACTTCCCTTCAGTATTTTACTCCCCATCATGCATACCCAAAATTTAGTCCTACGCCCGCGCTGTAAATAAAAGCATGGTATAATTGCTGAAGGTGAAAATGTAAACATACACCAATACCAACAATACCATGAAGAAATGAATTATTGTAACTCAAGTAACCATTCAATGGCCTAAAGTGTAAATATGCAAATACTTTTTTGTATTCTTATTGTATCAACTTTACTCTACCGCCCGCTACGAAGACAACCATTATGAATAAAAGTATTAATAATAAGATTTAATGTATTTAAATGATTATTCATAGAACATGAAAGATCTAATGATACCCGAATTTCCTATGTGTGAATGCGGTTAAACTATTTGTAAAAATTGCATCTCAGTTTTATATATATTCCCCGTACGAGAAACGTACAAACCTTGTGGTGAGTTTGTACCTGACTCTTCCACAGTCCCTCATTCGTACGCGCGGTCGCGTAATTTGAGCAGCGCTGATTTGAGGGACTGTGAAATCGTGACTCGAAAACTTGCAAAAACACTCGAAAACTTGCAAATGTGCTCGAAAACCTAAAAAATCGTCGAATATGGAAGAAATCGTGGATGTTTTGGACGGTAGCGGTCCTTTGCTGTACATGGGAAGTGTTTTGTCTGAATCGTGCGAGGAATTAGAGATATTAATGGAATATTTATCTCTTGAACACCATGATGGCGAGTGTTGACATTTTATAGCAATATGCCTTTGACTCCTTGATTATAAAAATATAATATAGGACAGATTTTGATTAGGTTTTCGTGTTTTATATTGTTTCATGAAAGTGATTGTACGTTCACAAGTTACAACTTCGTAATAGCTGGGTAAATGCTCTATAATACGGATTATTTTTATTTAAATTCTGCAGAATAATTTCCACGTGCTATTTTATATAAATATATATGCCAATTAACATGTCAACAAATATAAAGTCAACAAGGAGTCCAACCTCGTACAAGAAGTCCTGGTCAGGGGAAACATGAATTGAATCGCCCTCGTCTAACCGTTTTGCCAAAAACGAATATATTTTATGTTGGTCTCAAGAGTTAAGTTACTCTTTGTTTAAATTGCCAAATGTGTACGACTTTTCACTTTTGCTTATTAAAAATAGCAATATGTGAAATATGCATGCTGAATAATAATTTTTTTAATGAAAATTATTTAGCCAATGGGGATCTCAGGTTCTAGCTCCTTGGTTAGTTGTCGGCATTTGAGTTTAGGAGTTCTGAACAGGCCTCCATGTTATGGATTTATTTTAACCTCCGTGTTTTACCTAGACCCCGCCCCCCTCAGGTTCAGCATTACCACTTCATCACCAGTAAATAGGGTTGGGCAATATTTTGATATTATCAATGATACATGATGATTGTACGTACTCAAGATCATCATATAATTTTGAAAGTAAAAGCTGAGTCGTTATGGAGTTATCGTCAGGGCCGAACTAACAAAGCTTAATAATATAAAATCTTAAAAAAACTATGTTAATTAATCCATCCCTGAATTGGAAACCAAAATTTCATATGGTGTGTAGGTAACAATTGCAAGTGGAAGTAATAGTTGAAACAACCTATTTTCCCTCATGCATATATAACTTGATGTGGTACGAGGGTAGCTAAACTAACAATAACGAGGAGCCAAGCATGTCAATTTCGTTTGAAAACAAAGTTGTCTATGACGTCATAAAGACCCAATACTTTATTATTTTGTTTGATAATTGCCAAGGATTTCACACATAATCCCCTCCCCCATTACCCCCAAGTGAATCCATCCCACTACTACACAAGATAGTACTTCTTTCCCTCTGAGTTAACAATGAAAGCATATTTTTTACAGATCTCTGCAATATTATGTTTACAAGTTCCTTGAAGATATGATTATAATAAATGGTGACAGATGTCTGTACATTGTAGAGTATTTTGTACATATTTTGTACTTACTGAGGCCAAATAAAAATAATAGTTGGTTTCAGGTTTCACAGCCATGTTTTATATGGGTAGGTAGGTCAGAAAAGCATTTTATTTAAAAAATATTTTATCTCAAGTATGCAATAAATATAAGTTGTTTATGAGTAACTGTCACACATAATCAGACATGCCACGCGGGATCACCCGCGAGCTACACATGTTTTGCGAGAAACAAACGCATCAAGGATTAACATGACTAGATAATGATTAAATTATGAGCAAACAAAATAATTTGTAGCAAATGAGTCTGATGACTATTTATATATTCTGATATTTACGAAAAGATCATCCTTACTGGGAAATGTCAATAAAATGTTTATGGTCGGTCATATTTTTGACAGGTCGGTCAGAAACCTGAAACAAACTATTATTTTTATTTGGCCTGAGTACTTTTTATAATATTCAGACAATAGATAAATTTGTATCATAATTAAATTTGTATCAAAATCTATAATTTAATAAATATTCATTCCATCTTGTTTCATTTCTTGTTTTCTTTAGTAGCTGCAAGAAAAGATCTTCTTAGAAAATCTGATATTTTTGAAAACTTATTACACATATATACACAAGGCCGTCGGAAGTAAATCAATATTGGGGTGGGGTCTCAAGAATAAATTTGAATTGCCTTTGCACTTTTCTAGTTCTTTTGTGTGTGTATGCTCATACAAATGGAATATGGGGGGGGGCTCATACCCCCCCCCCACACACACTTCTGACAACCTTGATACATGATCTAATTGGTACCAGGCTAGGCCCAACCTACCTATGTTTTTCCCACAATAAAATTATTAAGAAGAACAGTATGCTAAAAGAGGTTCAAACATGGGGGATGTTTCTGCGAAAGCTGGGTTTGCCTGATCAGAGAGATATCCCTATGTATAGCAGGCCTTTTTTAAGGTATTATCACTGTTTGAATCACTCAAACCTGATGCTGATTGCTGAGTTTGTTGGGTTTGTTTTCAAAATGCATTAATGAAACCAAGTCAGTATGGTGTTAAGCCTCAAAAACTGAAAGCAATAGACTTGGCATAGACCCTTGACGCTCCCTGCAAGGGGTGCAAACAATAAAATTCCCTATACTCCTATAGGTAAATTTGCAAGAGATGCAATTATGCAAACACAATGGTGAAAACAATTAACAATATATTCAAGATGGCATCCTTAACCTTGCTACTTGCACATGGTGCAAAGGCTATAAAATGATTGATTAATAGAAATTAATTTAACAATATTTTACCTGAGATTCGACAGCTCAGATTATTTTGATCAGCGTATGTCTTTAGTTTGACTTTGACAGAGTGCAAAAGAAACATTTCGTATATTTTGGCAACTTCTTTCGGATCTTGGCCAAATATGGAAATAACGTTCCTTCTCCAGAAACGTCGAACCAAGAACTACTTGCCAATGTCTACACTCTACAACAGTCAAAATATTAAAGATTAATATTTTTAAATATGCTGCACATATATTAATAAATTGCGACAATTGATACATTTTTGAGCGTAAAATATGTAAAATGTAAATGAACATACCTTCGTACCCTTCTTCAATAAACAGGAAATATACTTTAACGTTTCCTCGCCATACATAACGGCCTTGAAAAATCCTCCCTATTTATTTGCATTATCTCGGCCATTTAATACAATGGACGCCATCTTGGATGCGGGATTTCCGAGTCGCTTCAGATTCTATCGCATTCCCATTAAGCACCGCGCTCCCATTGTTTTCCACTGATCTCTATTCCCAACTGAAGCGACGAGGGACGAGGCAGTATAGGTCAGTGCTTCCATTTTTAAAATCAAAATTTCTCATTTTTGTCATCAAAATTTCTCTAAATTCCTTAGATAGTATATGTTATTTCCTTGAAAATTCCTTGAAATTTCATGAAGCAGTTTGCAGTGATTTGGTAGCAATACCACTGAGCAATACAAAGGATTTAATTAATTTTCAAGACACAAAATAGCACAATTAACAAAGATGTGGGCAAGCTAAAAACCACAGGCTATTATACTGTTTAAAATTAAATATTTGTTATGAATTTACAAGAGATATCTTTACAGGAGCAGGCTATCTTTACATTGATATGATTAATTAACTATTCACAGCGTTTGGCGCAGTTTGGCGCCAAAAGTTACTAAATCCCATCGCTCGGAAATTTTCGGAAGCCCAAGGAAAAAGTTAAAGGTAGGTTACAGTCCCTTCTGCGCATGCGCGGGCTTTGTTTACGTTTTTTGTTTTGATCCACATTAATTGTATAAGATGAAGTATATGACGAGTTGAAAGTAACATTCCACATAATTTGTGACCGAGGAGTGCAATGTTTGACAATACTTCGCTTCATTTCTTGTACATTTCTACACTGGAAATTTTTGTACACAATAACACAATCTTATACTGTAACTGTTTGACTGTAAACATCGTGAATAAAGAGGCCGCTTTGAACGTTGTGTGACTTGCTATATCAACAGCTGGGGCGGCGAACCGAAATCCCGAAGGTGTGAGTTCGAATAATTTGTGTTTACCTTTGGAGTGTCTCATCATGAAAATATTTAATGCGGTATCAATCCCTCCAAACATGTTGCCAGTGTTGTTGTTGTCATTATGACAGAATCGCTTGGCCTTGGGGAAAGCTTTTCGCTTGACGAAATTCGAAACAAGTGTGATTGAGAATGTGGTTGCAGTTCCTGTCTTCGTGGCAAAGCCGGGGAAAAAATTTTTGACCATGCAAAAGCTGGATAAACTGAGCAAAAGTTCAAGCTCGTGCGTGCTATGGAGATAATTTCGTTATAAACAACAAGAGTTCAATAGATTGACAGTGACGAGAGTACGAGGCGCCAAGATTATATTCAACTTTTTTGTGTTATAAGTATGTATGTTTTGAAATTATGAACTGGAAGTATGAATTCACTGATATTACTCTCATATATATTGACACTAAATGATGATATTCTTGTGACACTGAATGATCTAATAGTAATATTAAATTAACTTAAACAATTCTGGTCAATCTAGTGATCACGTTAGTTCACTTCATCATGTCTCTTCACAGGACAATTGCTAAATATAATTATGCTTGTTTCCCTCTATATCAGAGCTCATCAGAATGCTCAGGAAACACTGATAAAATTTTTATTACATCAACAAATCTTTCTTTTTCTTAACAGATTTATATATGATTTATTATATATAAATGATTTACAGATTTATAACAGATTTATGATATGATAATACATATAATTTATAAACAATTATTATTAGCACACATATATCCAAGGGGATAGGCATGCATATGACTCAAGGGCTTATGGCCCCCTGAAAATACTGAATATACTAAATATAATTACAGTTTGTGACATGAACAGTCAGGTAAGCACCATTCACATAAGAACCTGTTTAGGCTAACTTGGAAAAAATCTAGGTTCTTATTATATGCAGGGTAACCAGGGTTTTACTGTGTTGTCTGATTTCATGTCACAAAACAGGCCATAGCAGCTTGTGCTGACAATATATATATATGCATGGAATGGTGCCACTCTTTGTGACACAAGATCAGGCAATCATAGTACAAAATGAACTGGGTTGTGTTTCAGATTGCTTTGTGTAGGAGGCAATCCATCTAGATGAAAGAAAGCTCGGATTTAAAACCCCCAGACCCCACCTTTGGGCAATACATGTAGTGACTACATGATCATTAGAGCTTGGAAATTAGGTTAAATTCTTAAAGAAAAGCGACTCATTTTTGGTATGTGCATGAGGTATAATTTACATGTATATAAATTAATATTGTGCACAAATTATCTAACTAATAGCTATGACTATGTGTAAAGCTATACTGTATTTTAAAGCTATACTGTAAAGCTGCTAACATGCA